TCAATCGGTATCTTTGATGGAGCCTTGGAGTGGCTGCACAAAAGTATCCCTGCTTTGGCTGGGCTAACCTGTGGATAATGTTTGAAGTCAGTGGAAGCTTTAAGTTTTGAAAAGGTCAGCCCAGGTGTCAAGAAATATGAGAAATGGGCTCAGACCTTTGTGGAAATGAATAGGTTGCATGCATTTTAAGGCAGTCTTACAGGAACACATTGGGAGATCTGGCATCCTTAAAATTGAGCATATGCCATATCAACATTCCTAGTACAGTGTTTTGTTACTGCCTCTGTGCTCTAAATAGCCCTGTGCAAAGGCACATCATTGAACCAAAGCATATGGAGGTGACTACTCTGTGATGCTGAGTTATGCTGCAGGATCAATTTGCTGCTGCCTTACCTTTTTCTGCACATTTGCCAATGGAAATTTCTGCTCTAGAAATTACACTGTGTCAAAAAAAGAAGTAAATGCATGAGGGTAGGTTCCATTTCTCAAGACATATCAACATGAACCAGTGCTCGTGTCTGTTTCCTGAGAAGACTGAATCAAAAAACATATGCATCTATGCCTTAAGGAAGCAGCAGCTCTCTAAAATGCCCTTTATATTTACAATTACTTAATTACTTTATTTTGCTGAAATTAAAGGTCATTAAAATCATCCTGAGGGTTGACTCAAATTTCAGAAGTAGCCTGTAAGTTGTACAATCTGTAACTATGTTCCATTTAACACATTTAATAGAAGTAAAAATTCACAAGTGATGATATAAAGGATAATTTACGCTTGCAATGCATTTTTGTCCAATTAATAGATTGCCTGTGTGTTGCATATTTTGCATGACAAAAGAGCAGAATATTAAACTGCCATTCATAATGAAAATGCACTTTGCAAATTAAAAGTGCCGAAACAGAAATTTTTCACCCTGTTTAGGAAATAAACAGTCCTTAACCAATTAAACTGCATTGTAATAATTCTATGATTTATTGCAAGTTGTTTAACTTTCAAAACTCGGCTAACCCATATTAAGGTCACAATCCATCATGTCTTGCTTGGAAAGCCCGCAAATAATGGCTGTTGTATTAGCTGCTTTTGATGATAGTATGAAAGAAGTATTAGCACTTGTCAACAAAACTGCTTACAACATAACATTAGCATGCATGGGCTGCTGTACCTATTTATTATTCTGGCAGCTTCACACATATTGTTACAAGCTTATAAAACATTTTGTCGGGTGGAAACCGAATGTACACTGTTTGGTTTTCTGATAGACTGGCAGCATAAATGTCTGGGCTGACTTAGTTTAGTTTAAGTGTAAATAGAGACACAAATTCTTCAACCTGTTCTCTTATTGATACTGAAAAGTGCTGAATTATTCAGCATCCAACTCTTCTGTTTGTGTCTATCACAGTTATCAATTACCCATCAGTCTTCTTGTCAAAACAGAATGGATTAATCTGGCTGAAAATAAGACAAATAAATGGATACTATAACAGGGGTGTGGGGTTGCCAGACTGTCAAAGGGAAATCCAGGCAGTGACATTTGCCGTCAAAAATGGGATCTCTGGCTTAAGTGAGCAAATGATTCCCCTTTGTGAGCCAAGAATGCACTTAGCGCACCGTAAGTAAATTAATCTGCCTTCTTTGACTGCTAATGCATTAGCACTGAGGTAATAGTTCAGTTTCTAAAAGTCCTTTATGTTTAAATAATTTTGGTCATCGTTATTTTTCCTCACAGGAAACGCAGATACATTCAGATACTTTATCCTGGTAAAGAGAAGGCTGCCTGGGGAAAGAAATGGACCCATTTAACAATGAAGTTATTGCTGATAGTTTTGTGCCACTTCATCGCTCTCAGCTGATGTGATACCAAGTAACTCTCTGCACAGATGGCTGGTGGAACCCATCCAGCATCTGCAAAGTCCATCCCTGTTTTCTTTCCCAAACATTTTATTTGGAAATCTTGTTTGGCAAACTTCCTGAGACTCTGCCTAGCTGTTCAAAGTACATATTTCCAAGCTATCTCATTTGGACCTTCCATAAAAAAGAGCCAGCAAAGTGCCTTCTTACTTGGCACAAAAATTGCAGCCACAGACTGAAGCGAGTTTTAGGTTCCTGGCCAAAACTTTACAAGAATTTTATCTTAGATGCTTCCATACTGGACTGTTTTACATAGTCATCATTAACATCTGACGCCTTCACATCATGACAGGATCGAAGCTCCTAGTCTGTATCAACTGGTAACTTTGCCAAAAGTTCCCTCTTGTTCTTATTTTCCTTTGTGTCCTAACCATCGTGGACATGGTTCTTATTCAGACTGCAGGGTGCTGAGCTTTTTAAGGAGAGCTACCTGCTGGACAATGTCTCCCTGCACTTAATGATGAATCAAGAGATTACTTTTGAATGAATAATCTTTTTTTCTTCTTCCGATAGATCATGTAAAGGATGTTAAGCATTTTAAAAACCAAAACCCAAAACCCTTTGTATATTTGGGGACTTAGAAAGAGGTCATGCTAGTAATTCAATTCCAGATACAACTTCCACAAATTTCTTAAAGACTCTGACAGACTGGAAATTTCGGTCTCACATTCCCAGAACATTACCTCAAATTTCTCCTCAATGTAAATCAGTTTCCCAGAACCTCAGTAATAAAAGAAAATGCACTAATCGGCCTGGTCACAACTCATCTTTGCTAAATCTCATTTCTTTGGTATATAAACCCAAAAGTACCTCATAGAAGGCAGCTATCTGAAATGTGCAAACACTGAAACTTCTCTTGAAATGATGCAGTAGTTTTGCTATCAGTCAATTTATTATTTTACTTTGTTGCTCTCGACTTTCTTTTTTCAAACATGTTTTGTTTTATTTTTTAAACGGAGGTACTGGGGATTGAACCAGGGACCTCGTACATGGTAAGCCCTGTGCTCTACCACTGAACTCACCCACCCCACCTTGTCCTTTTAAATAAATAACTCATTTACATGGAAAGGTAGCATTGTACAATTTTGCATGGCCTAAAAGCATTTTCAAAGTTTTAACTTTTTTTTTCCTAAAATTAATTCTTTGCAATACTAGAAGTAAGTTAATTGACAGGTGTGTATCATGACCTTATTTCCAAATTCCAGATGCCATTTCCCATTCTTGGAGGAACTTTTCAAAATACATGCCTGCCATTTCAGGTCCAATTTGTCTGAGTCTAAACCTTCTTTCCCAATAGCTCCCTTTTACCAAGATCCCAGTTGGTGACTAAGTCCTGTAGAGTCTGCCTTTTCCACGTCTCTTCTGTTTTTCTCCCTTCAATTACCACTGTCACTATGCTTTTGCAGTCCCCACCAATTCATTCATACATTTACGCACGCACCAACTCATTTATTCAACAATTCTTTGTGACGGCCTAACATGACTGGTCTCTGCCTCTGTCTTTCCAGCACCCCTCGAGCCTGGCTTTCTGCCCTCAGCCTGAAATGCCCTCTGCTATTCTGCCTATCCTTCAAATCACAACCTCTTTGTATATTTTCTTATTCTTTCACCCACGTGTGATTTTTTTTTTACTCCCTTAAGTCTCTTGAGCATTTTCCTATTTCCTTTATTACAACCGGGAGAGTTCCTATCTCAGCCACTTACTAACTGTGTGACTGTGGGCAAGTTACATACCCAAATGAAGCCTCAGTTTCTCCTCTAAAATTGGGGTAGTAATACTCCATAGGGTACGAGGTTAAATGAGATAATGCTTGTCAAATACTTAGAACAACGCCGTGAGCATTCAAGTTCTTATTTGTTATATTATTTTGAGCAGCAAGGAGTTACACATGTCTGCTGTAACATCTGTATGTTGAGAGATAATAACTGAAATTCGCTTTGGTGTTTCTGAGGGGCTCAAAACTACATTTACCTACTAGCCCAGGTGGTGAGCCAGGGCATCAAATTTTGGGCCTAACACTCTGGAGCAAGGCTGCCTGTCTTCATATCCTGGTACTTAACCATTTATGAGCCCAGCTGTGTGTTGTTGTTGTTGTTGTTGTTTTTAATGGGAAGTCAGTTAAAAGTTTCTATACCTCATAGATAGCTGTTAAGATGAGTGGAAAGTAGCGAGGAAGAGGGTATAGCTCAGTGGTAGAGCACATGCTTAGCATGCACAAGGTCCTGGGTTCAATCCCTAATGCCTCCATTAAAAATACATAATTATCTTACCTCCCCAACAATTTTTTAAATTAAAAAAAAAAAGATTAGCTGAAAGTAAAATGCTTAGCAGTGCCTGGCCCATAGCAAGAACTCCAAAATGTAGCTTGTTGTTACACTAGAGGGGTTTCAAATGCTCCATGGTCTCATTCTAAGTGGTGAGAAAGGACCATCAAAATGCATAATTCCCTGGATTATTGTCCCATCCTTCCAGTATAACACTTCTCCCAATCCCAGTCTATCTCATATCTCTCACACTGACTAAAAACTGCCAAGTCAGATCATTCCCCAGAGGGTGGTTCACATTCTCCATTTACTGGGACATCAACCTCTCTTTGCAGCTTTCACAACACTTCTTAATCATCTCCCTTCTCCTGAAACATTTTCCCTCACTTGCTCCCTGAAGTGTGTCATTTATCCTTTAACCCTTCAGTTACTGTCCTCCTGGGCCCATAAACTCTCTGAGAGGCCACACTCTCCTTCTGGCTTTCCATCTTCTCTCAAACTGATCCGTTTCTTCCCTGCTCCACACATCTAGACACCTCCTCCCTACCTGCATCCATCTTTCTACATTTGAGATGCTTGCCTCTGCCAGACTTTCTCACTAACTTAGCCCTCTCAGATATAGCATCCAAACACCCGAAGCATTTAGAAATTTCACCACTCAATTTAGCCATCAATGACAAATTGCCTCTCAACATTTGCTCTGTGTTTGTTCACCTCTCTGGAAATATTTCAAATTTTCTGTTTCCTAGCTCTTTCTCTTTTTGGCTAATCCGCAAAGCTCCCCGGACAGTCTTCTTGGTCTGTCATGGTAACCATGCTGGTTGTCCTCCAACTGTCCTTCCTACTGGCCTAGTCGGTTTTTATGCCCCAGGAAGAATTTTCCATCTTCCCACATTGTTATTTCTGCCACTTCTTGGAATAAATGACATTTTTATTCTACAAGCAGCCTTACCTGATTAAGGCAGCATTGGGTTGTGTGGAAGAATTATGGACTTGAAGTATTAAGAGTTTTGGAACTGAGTCTTGGTTTTACCACTTTCTGAATGTATGACCTTGGGCAAGTCAATTTTCTGAGCCTAATTTTGTTCAGTATAAAAATACTAATATCTAGAGCTCACAGAAAAAGTGTAAGGATTATTGGAAAGAAATACCAAAGTGCTGACACATAACAGAGAGCAAACTTTAGATACTTCACCCAGATTCTAATTAATATGAAACCATATTAATAACATCTACAGTCCAGCCTGACTTTATATACAGTGACACAGTCATGATACAGATTAGGTTTATGTCAAGTACTTATGCATCCATTTAACACCATTCAGCAAATCATTAATTCTCTAGAAGTAGTATACATACTAGTCTTAGTATTTGCAAACTTAACTAAGTGCACTGTGATGAAACCTGCCGAAGCCAAAACTTAACTGTTGTTGAGAGCTGATTAACACTGGAAATTATATTCCAAATGAAACACTGGTCTATTTCTCCCTCACATTTAGGGAAATTGGAAGTGCCAAAGGCTAAAAATTCCCTTGATTGAGGATAAGATGCAGAGGAGTGGAACTACCATGTACATGGCTTGCCTTCCAATTACTGAATTCTGGAAATGTATTCCAAGGTAGTGAGACAGCATTTTACAAGCTATCTAATGAAAATTTCCTCTAGAACAGTCACAATTATCAAGCCAAAATGAGTCTCATAACTGAAATTACCTTCAAGTTTTAATAAATCCCTCAGCAAACACTTGTTCTGGTTGGGTATATCCAGACTTTGGTTGAGAAATGAATGGTTTCAAGCTGAAGCCTGCTTTAAGCAGAACTTCTGAGTAGGGAAATCACAGTAAAATATGAAATTCCTAGTTTAAATGGGAAGCCAATTTGTACCTACTTCTTTTTTTCTTTCTTTTATTCTTCTGAGGACAGTCTAAATTGCTCAACCTAGTTTGTTCATTCTTTCTAGCTACAAATATTTTCATCTTCCCTGGGGACATGCTAACCTTCTGAGTCAGAGTTACACCCAGGGGTTAAACTACCTCTCTGGGCAGGACACAGAGCAGAGGAAATTCAAAACTTTAAATGACTCATCTATGACTGAAATAAAAGTCTATCACATATGGTGGTGGAGACAGTTTTTACACCCATGGGTTCATCTTTGAGAAGAGAAGAGGTCTTGAGAAACCACAATTTCTCAGGCAGGAAATACTTCCCTCCGTCCTCTTCAAACTCTTTATTAAAAGGCTGTTGAAAAGTTCTGATTCAGCAACTTTCCAAGTTACCCAGTCCTTTAAAAAGGTTTAAATGTGACCTCAACTCTGCACAACATAGATTTATAATCAGTCTTCCATTTGGAAAGCCCAGGCTTTAGAGAAACTGAGTGAATAATGCCACAATAATGGTATTTCAGCTCAACAATGAGATTTTCTCCCAGAGATATAAAAACAGACCCTGGGAACAATTTCTAGGAGCATTTTATTGTTTTGATGGGACAATAAAATATGAGGTTATCATAATAACAGTAAGCTATCTTGCCTCTTCCTGGAAGGTAAAGGTACAGCAAAACATTTTCGTAAGTGGCAAAGTGGACAAGAGCTTCTCTCTGTCTCGGACACAAAGTGTCTAGCCTTAGAAGTGGGATTTCCAGAGCAACAGTTTTACCCCATGTTGTGAAAGAGATTAAAAGTATATCTTTTGTCCCAGGGTATTAGCAGTGACAAGCTAATTATGGCAAACCCAGTCTCTTCCTCGGCTTCTCCCCAGGCTCTCTGATTTACCACACCTGAATTGGGTTTTGGGCTGGAGGGCAGTAAGTAAGCAAATAAAACTCCAATAGAATTCTCTTGAACGGGAGAAACTGTTTCACAATAATTACTTTGTTTATTTTCACAGTACTTGTCCCCTTTGTTCAGAGACTATCCTAATAAAAGTTTGTCATGATGATGATCACTTCATTATAATATGTACATATAGCAGATGTTCGTTATCTCATATAATCCCTGTGCTTGTTCTATAAGTGATGTATTAACATTCTTCTCTCTGAGCAAAACTGAGGTGCAGAAAGGTTAAGGGAACTTGCCTGAGGTCATACAGTTAGCAAGCAGCAAAACCAAAACTCAAACCCTAAACTCTATGACACCACAGTCCATGCTCTGTCCACACAATGTCATGCTGCCTCAATTGGGTAAGGCTGGCTGTTAGGATGCCATTTATTCTAAGAAGTGGCAGAAACACAGTTTGGAAGGAAGGTGGAAGGAATCTGATCATTTCCTCTTGTTCTTATTTCCAGTTCTCTCCTATATCTCTTTATTTTATTCACTTACTCATTTTCCCCATCTTTATTGAACCCATATTCATAACTGAATAAAAAGATTGGTTCTTCAGGTAGAAAATGGTGGTAGTTTCCTACTTAGTGGAATATAGAGGAAGCTCCTGAATAGCCCTGACTCAAAAAACAAACAAACAAACAACCACCCAAACTTCCCATTC